AAAAAAGGCAAATGCTATTTTAGGCTGCATTAATAGAAGTACAGTTTCCAAATCCCACAAGGTGCTAGTCCCCCTCAATTCGGCACTGGTTATGCCTCACCTCAAGTTTTGTGCCCAGTTCTGGACACCACACTTCAAGAAGGATGCTAACAAATTGGAACAAGTTCAGAGGAGAGCGACAAGGATGATCAGGGGGCTGGAAACCAGGCCTTATGAGGAAAGGCTGAAAGAACAGGGCATGTTTAGCCCTGAGAAAAGAAAACTGAGGGGTGATAAGATAGCACTTTTCAAATATTTGAAATGCTGTCATACAGAGGAGGGGCAAGATCTGTTCTCGATCATCTTAGAGGGCAGAACATGCAACAATGGACTCAAGTTAAAGAAAGTCAGATTTTGGTTGAATATCAGGAAAAACATCCTAACTGTTAGAGCAGTACAACAGTGGAACCAGTTACCTCAGGAGTTGGTGAGTGCTCCAACACTGGAGACATTCAAGAAAAACGTAATCACCTGGCAGATATGCCTTGATTGTATTCCTGCATTGAGCAGGAGGTTGGACTTGATGGCCTTGTAGGCCCCACCCAACTTCACTTTTCTATGATTCTATGAAAGTGGGATTTCTCTCTCTCCTTAAAAGAGGGTTTCCAATTAACCTTTATTACTGAAAGCATCATAAGAAAGTTCCCCAGTCAGTCAGTCTCTGGGCTGTTTAAAACACTAAAGCCAATACCTTGAAATAACCCAGAAAATGACTTTAGATACTCAGCAGTGCCCAGATGCATGCAGATTTTGCCTCAAAACAATCAGTCCATCAATATTTTGGGGCCTTATCTGAATTAAAACTAGCTGGACAGCTCAGGGGTTTAGGTATCTGGCCATGGAGCCAGAGATTGGGAGTCTAATTCTTCTCTAATGCTTCTTGCAAATACAGCCAGCCTGTGTGGCCTTGGGCAAGCCACACATTTCCAGGGTATTCCCTGAAGAAGGGAAGGGGAAGCTACTGTATTTTTCCTTCATTATGGCTAATTGATTTGATTGTGCATTTGTTATAACCTCAATGCCACTGCCATACTCCGATCTGGATTGGAGGTCTAAGTCTGTGCTCATGTCTCTAATTATGACAAAGTCACTTAAGAAGAAAATAATAATAATTTCTCTAATTTCCTTTAACTATAGTTTCCCAATTCATCAATCTATTTCTTAACTATAAAAACAGGGGCCTATATCCAACTATTTTTCCCAACTGCACTGGCCTGACTGAGTGAGTGGGATTTGATTTTGTTGTTTAGTTGTTAAGTCGTGTCCGATTCTTCGTGACCCCATGGACCAGAGCATGCCAGGCCCTCCTGTCTTTCTCTGCCTGCCAGAGTTTGGTCAAATTCATGTTGGTAGCTTCGATGGTACTGTCCAATTATCTCATCCTCTGTCATCTTCTTCTCCTCTTGCCCTCACACTTTCCCAACATCAGGGTCTTTTCCAGGGAATCTTCTCTTCTCATGAGATGGCCAATGTATTGGAGCCTCAGCTTCAGGATCTGTCCTTCCAGTGAGCACTCAGGGTTAATTTCCTTCAAAATGGATAGGTTTGTTCTCCTTGCAATCCAGGGGACTCTCAAGAGTCTCCTCCAGCACCACTATTCAAAAGCATCAGTTTTTCGGCAGTCAGCCTTCTTTATAGTCCAGCTCTCATTTGGGATTTGATAAATCAACACTTAACAATTTAACAACCTGTTGGCCTATCCAAAAAGGTATATAGACCACTATTTGAATCACTGTTGGTACTGCCCCGTTTCCCTGAAAATAAGACTGGGTCTTATATTATTTTTCCTCCAAAAAACACATTAGGGCTTATTTTCAGGGGATTTTTTTTTCATGTACAACCATCTACATTTATTCAAATACAGTCACATCCTCTTCTTCTGGAACATTGTCATAACTCTCCAAACCCTGAATTCCAGCCTGAATTTCTTGTGACTCCCTCCAGAGAGTGGGGTAGTGCTGATGTTGGCATGAAGGGCCCCAACACGAACTGGCCTCAAACCCCTTCTGCTGCAGGACCAGATAGTTTCTGTCTCGTTTTGGGAACGCACTTGCTTGTTGAGGTGGCGGGAGGGGGAGGGGGAAGAATGGATCCCGCTGGCCCGCATGAATGAAATGGCGTCAATCCCGGTTGCTGCACAATGAGTCCCTGGTGGAGGGCAAGGTTTCACTTCACTGGGGCTTATTTCTGGGGTAGGGCCCATATTACAAGCATCCTGAAAAATCATACCATACTAAGGCTTATTTTCAGGTTAGGTCTTATTTTCAGGGAAACAGGTAGTGTAGTGGAAACCAAATTGCAATGTCCCCATGTGTTTCTATGTAGAACGAACCATCCTGCTACTTTAAGAGCTATTATACACCTTTCTGGCACTGCAGTAGGGGTTTCTGTTTTTGTTTTGTTTTGTGGGTTTTTTTTGTTTGTTTGTTTTTGCATGATTCAACATGCTCCTAATTTTCCTGCTGTGTAGCCTATGTGGAGGGATACTTAGCACACAAATGGAGCTGTGGATAATGTTATCGGTGACAACCCTGTGATATAATAGGTGGGTTGTGACATTAAAAAGGTGGATGGATAAATCACCTCCTCTATTTTTGTCTCTTTTTTCCCAGTACAGTAGGAACCCCATATTCACTGGGGATTGCTTCCTAGCCCCCAGTGGATACAGAAAATAATAGCTAACACGAGATAGATATAGATATAGGTATAGGTATAGGTATAGATAATATATGGTGAAAGGGGGGGAAAACAGAAAAAATGTTTTCACATGCATTACCAGAACTGGTTACTGCTTCACTAGCAAGTATTCAAAGCATGGTCTGTGGCTCCCTCTAGTGGCCGGTTCGCATGAAAATAGTTTCTTTGGATTTTTTTTATTTTAATATTTTTAATATTTTCACATTGTGGATAAGTAAATCAGTGGATACTGATCCTGTGGATAAGGGGGTCCTACTGTATTTTCCTCACTGATGCAGCACAATCCTAATACCATGTTTGGTGGTTGCATTGCTCTTTCAATACGCCCCTTCCTTTGCCTAGCAACAACAAAGGAAAGCCACTGCGGCTGGCTGAATAACGGCTGTGAGAAAAGTTAGGGAAGGAGGCTAGCCAACTCCACGGACTCCGCCCCCCACAAGGCCTCACACCCTCAGCAGGGCCCCCAGCTCAGGTGACAGGTGGGAAAGGGAAGGTTAATTGCCACCCATCTTCCCAAACTTCACCCCCATGGGTGCCTCCTTACTTGTGAGTAAACCGTGTAAACGTACACACAAGTAAACCGGATCAATCTTATTGATGAGTAAACCGACTAACCTGGCGATCCAAAGACCTATGTGGACCCTTCTCACATAATAAGAATAAACATCTGCAGTGAGAACAGATGAGATCTCCAAATCCCCCTGTCCGGACAGGCCCACAGTGTTGTCCTGCAAACACAATGGATATAGTTTGGAATGAAAGTGATTGATTGATTGATTAAAATATTGATTATTTAAAATATTTTAAACCATCTTTCTCCTTAAAAAGGACCCAAGGCAGCGTAATTGAAAGGCAATGTTTAAAGCTAAAAACAATGAGTATAACAAGGTACCTTACATCATTAAAAGACAATACTTAAAGCTAAAAACACTAAGTATAGAAATATTAAAAAGGAACAACAAATACCACTCTGACAAATGGTAAACAAAAAACAATACACAGCCAAAGCAGTAATGCGTAACAATCTATCTAAAACTCCCACTCAGGCCACCAGCAGAAGGAGGGAGCTGCCTTGAACACACTAGGGTTATGACTATAAAAGGATTGGTGCTGATTCTCTGTGGCTCGCAGAGCAGAAAAGGAGGCTCAACTTTAGACTTAAGAGAAAAAAACAGCAAGGAAGGAACGATCTGTATGAGACTGCTGGAGGAGAGGAGGAAGAGAGGGCTGGCTACCGCCTCCCTTGACTACTACTACTATTCCGACTCTTCCTAAGGAAGGTGGGAGGTCTGTGTGCTCCTACTTGCAGGCATCGCATGCAGCCTTTGGGGCCAAAACATTTGACCACCCCCAGCTTAGAGGAAAAGCAGCGACAGTATCGCCCACTATGGCTGTCAGAGACAGTTCATCTGTTGCTCTGTTTCTTGGAAGTATTTGGATCATATAATCTCTGAATATAGCCTCCGTGATGACTTGCAGAATTCCAGAACAGTTACATAGCCTTTAAACTATGCATGTATCCAGAGCACTTGAAAATGGCAAGAAGGCAGCTGAAGTAAAAAAACAAAACAACAACAACAGATAACCCAAATAAGGAGCAAATGTTGGACCATCTCCATTAATATCTTAGATGAGGCAAAAGGAGCTATTTTAGAAGTTTGTTGTCATGACCTAGTCAGGAAGCCACTGTAAACAGGAACATAACAGTCGATTATTTAAAACTTGTGGGAAAAAGCTGCAGGGGGTCAAAGACAAGGCCAGAAGGCATTACAATTAAGGCTGCAGAATGGCCAGCGAAAGGCATTTGTTCTCTCCAAGTGCCATAGGACAAAACACTGTATTTCAAACTCACCACTAGAATTTATTAAAACAAGGGTGATTGGTTGTTTACACAGTAGTCTGAAATGACTATCGCAAATGCTAATTGTTCTATTTTGTATTAGTATAATTCTTTTCCAGATCACAGACATTTGTCACTGGCTGGATTGCTCAGTGGTTTAGGTATTTGGTTGTGGAGTCAGAGGTTGGGAGTTCAATTCCCCACGGTGCCTCCTTATGAGTGGAGCAAGCTGCCCAGTCCTAACGTACCTTCAGAAGAAGGGAAGGGTAAAGTACTTCCGAGCTTTCTCTACCAGGAAAACCCATAAGAATTTATGATAAACAGGAAACAACAAATAAAAAGGCTGATTGTAGCTGGGAGCTAACAGGGAATGGCCAATAGCAGGGATGGTGAATGTGAAAACTAATTTAAAAATGAGTCGTCTAGAGCAGGGCCCCCCCCGAACCTCCAGTCCACGGCCCCGTGCCAGTTTGTGGGCTTCCCAGGACTGGGCCGCAGAGACAGATCTCCACCCTCCACATGAACGCATGACGGGCATGTCACGCTCGTAGGGGGGTGTCACACTCGTGAAGGCTGTGTCTCGCTTGCATGGGAATGCAGTGCGACATGCCCCCCCAAGTGCGACACGTCCCCCGCAAGCGTGACAAACCCCCGGTGAGCACGGGGTACCATGCCCCCTTGCATATGGAGCCCGCCCCCCCAACCGGTCCACGGTTCCAAAAAGGTTGGGAACCGCTGATCTAGAGAACTGAGAGCTATGTAACCATCATCTTTATCTTGGAACTGCAGAACTGGAAGTGACCTTCTGGGTCACTGAATCCATCCCCAGTCAAGGAGGCACAGTGTGGGGTTGAACTCCCAACTACTGTACTAGCTCTACAGTCAGATGACTGAACCACTGAGCTATCCAGCAGTTCAGTAGACTGGTGTCATATGCAATTTGTGTAGGAGTAACTGGTGTTAAAATGAGAAGTAGAAATAGGAGTTCTTGAGAAGTGTAAAGAGCTAATGTACAGTATTTGCATGGGGAAAGGGATCAGATGAAAGAGGTGTGGGGAGGACTAGCGGAGAGTTGTGTGAGACAGCGGAGAAAGAGTTAGGCTGAAAACAGCTGTTCAAAGGAAATCACATTCTCTGCTCTTATGGTGCTTTAAACTCTGCAGCGTTACCCACTTTATGATGCATGAATGTGCAATCAGACCCACAAAGGAAGCACGCGTCTGCATTTGAATGATCACTTGTAAATCGGTTGGTGACGTTCCCCCAATACCCCATGATCCAATTTTTCTCTTTCATATGTTTGTATTCCTCTCTAGTGCTGACATAGACTAGACAGCTCAATTGGAGTAGGCTGGATCAGGCTAAGCAGCACCACTTAAGGTTGGGTGGAGGTCCAGCACACCATTTCATGTAATCCTTGAATTCACATGGCATATACACATGGAATACACATCTGAAGGTACCCTATTTGGCCTAACTCCCCCCTTAAGAAAACCAAGAAGACAAAGCAAAACAAAAAAATAATCTCCCTCTCTCCGTCCCTCCCTCCTGTCCTTCTCCTCTTTGTGGGAGGAAATTTTCAATTTTAAATTTTTTTCCTAAAAGATAAAGTGCATCACCACTGCCCTAATAGGCTTTTTAAAAAATTTACTTCCTTCTCCACTCCTAACCTTATGAGTGGAGGAAGTTTTTAATTTCCCAGTTTTAATTTCCCAGTGTCACGGTGTGGCTGAACTTAAGCCACTTAACCAAATTGAACGCTGAAAGGAAATCTCAAGCCACAAGCTTTAGTTCAGTCCCAGCAATTGCACCTGCTGAAAAAACCAAACCAAAATAAAACAATCCTACCCACACCTAAGAAAGGGTAGCCCCTGACAGGGAGCCAGAAGATCCATATAGGAATGCTCTGGAGACGGGTTCATACTTAGATTTGAGTTAAGAACTGAAAAAAAACCACGTGGGAGGCAGGGAAAGTGCAACATTTGAACTTTCAGTTAACTGTTGGCCAGTGAAAAGGGTGCCTGTCTGCTTCCTCTCTCCTCCCAGCGTTTAGAGAATGGATTGGGAGACAGTCTTCGGACTGCCTGGTACTGTACTGCCTGGACTGTATTTTCCCTGCCTTCCCTGAACCTTTCTTGACCTAAGAAAAAAAAAACCAAAATATCCCCCTCTAGTGGTCGAAGGCAGAATAGCAGCTTCCCATTAGTTTCTATGGACGGAAAAGAGCAGATACGGATCAAATGGTTTTCAATGCATTCCTATGGGAAATCCAGATTTGACTTGAGAACTTTTTGACTTGAGAACCGCCTTCCAATACGGATTAAGTTCTCAAGTCAAGACCCCACTGTAAAACAATCCTACCCACACCCAAGAAAGGGTAGCCCCTGACAGGGAGCCAGAAGATCCATATAGGAATGCTCTGGAGACGGGTTGGTTTTGTTCTGGGACTTACAACACCTACTGGACGGCAAAGGGAACGAACCAGTATGTCCTATAGTTGTCCAAATAGGGGGATAAATGCCTGTGTAGTCACTCCAATAGAAATTCTATTTTGCAACCATCTCTCCACTAGGAAAAAACATGCAATTGCATTGAAGTGGAACGGTCTGCCCAAGAATATAGGAGAGGATGGAATATTTACCTGTCTTTTTCTCCCACTGGTCTCTGCAAAATGTAGTTATTTTTTCTGGGCACAAATGGGAATGTTTTCTTTTTTAAATAAACCACAAAAATGAATGCAGAGGGTGAGGTGCTTATTTATGCATGCCTTCTGACACAGTATTATTTTCCTCTGTGCTGATGAACTGAGGAGGCAGCGACACTGCAATTTATTGTGCACCTTGTTGGGATGGTCTGTTTTGACCTAAGTATCAGCACACAGGTAAATGAAACCACATAGGCAAATGTGAAGCAGCGCAGCCCATTTCCATGGCTATCTACACATTTTCCGATCACTGGAAGGAGGTTTTTTGTTTGGTTTGTTTTGTTTTTTAGGGTGAATAGGATCACTACTCTTCAGTTCAGTTTCTAGCATGTGAGATTGCTGGTATCAAAGCAAAGCAGCAATGATGATGCTTTGGTTTCTCCATCAATTCAGCAAGATTTTTTTAAAAAAACAGCTTGCCTCTGTTCCATGCAAAGATGCAGGGGGGTCTTTCTCTCTCTCACTCACTCACTCACTCACTCACTCACTCACTCACTCTCTCTCTCTCTCTCTCTCTCTCTCACACACACACACACACACACACACACACACAAAATAATACAAAGCTATGTCCCTTGGATGGCAAGCCAATTCAACAATATGCCAGTTACCAAGATTTTTTTTAAATCCACCTTTCTGCTCCCTGTGAAAAGAGTGATAGGAGGGGATGTGGGGAAATAAAGGAGGAGATGGTGAAATGGACTAAATAGGATCACTTTGAAGTGTAATGGAATTTGTTGTCCTGAACCCCCCCTCCGTGCTTGTATGCAAATAGAAGGTATTTTTCTAAATGGAATACTGTACTAAACAGCGATCCTATTTAGTCCAGCCTAGCCCAGTCCAGGATAATTTGACTATCTAGTCAAACATCTTAAGAAACTAGATTGCAGACTCACACAGCTAAAACAAAGCTTGGGAAATGCTGGATGAGTAACTAGGAGAATTACTCTGCTTTTACAATCAGATATTCTTGAATCTGAGGAAGCAGTGTCTTCTAGACACAGAATTAGTCCACTGTCCAGTTCTGACTTTAGCTAGAGAGACACTGAGGAATGAAAATGAGTTGACCATAACTTCATACATTTCTGCCACAAAGCAGGAGTTTATAGTGGGGGACAGGAGGGGGAGAGAGAGAGAGAGACTTCTGTTTACAGTGAGGGAAGAACGGCAAAATGAATAACTTTTGCCATCTCTGCCTGACGTGGAATCTAAACTCCCTCTTCTGTTCTTGACACTGGCTTTGTAAGCCATAGGCAGAATACCTGGTCCAATATTTGAAAGATTTATCTCACTCCCACCCAATTTTTATAACATCTTTAGTCAACAAAGAATTCTGGAAGACCACAAAAGCTAATTGTGTTTCTTGCTTTCTGGGGAACGAACGAAGGTACTGCCCACCTTGAACTGGGCTTCTACAAAGGGATGGCACAGTCACGTTTTATCTATGTATGCCCAAATGTAATAGAATAGTCCTGTGGAAGTTGTGAGGAGGGAGGTTGTGGGGAAACTCACATTCCTTAACCCAGTTTAGGTTGTGCCAGTCAGGTCTGCAGCTGAGGTTGAAGCTTCTGCTTCCATAGTGCTGCTCCTTTTGGTTCTAGTTGAATGGTAAATAATGATGCAAGCTGCATGGCATGCATAGTTTCACCACGGTACAGAGGATTTGTTTGGTAAATATGTCTTTGGAGCCATCATATTAAAAACTCTCATACTACCCCTTGGAATAATTTTTTCTTCTTTGTCCACTTCAGAGTAGACACAGTAATGGAGCTTTCTACTGATGATGATGAGAGGAGAATGTCCACATCAGTCCTTTCTTCTTGGCAGACTTTTCTTGGCCACCCCCAAGAAGAAATACATCCTCAGTACCATTTTTGCCCCTACAGTATTCTTCTAGGGTGGAGTATACTGTATTATCAAAGGCAAGAACTACAGCCTGGCATCTTCAAAGTAGGGGAAGGAAATGGGGCCTTCCAGTAAGTGCTGGGCTGCCTGAGAACAGCAAAGGCATGCACACCCCAGTCGTAAATTAAGGTGCATTGTACAAAACTACATTGGGATCTGAGGTTGAGGCTGAGACTGAAACTACACATATGATTTGCTGCAGGTACAAAATGGATGAATCTGATTTTTTAATTTCTTTTTTCTTTTTTACTAATCGTCGTTTAGTCGTTTAGTTATGTCCGACTCTTTGTGACCCCATGGACCAGAGCACGCCAGGCCCTCCTATCTTCCACTGCCTCCCGGAGTTGTGTCAAATTCATGTTGGTTGCTTTGATGACACTATCCAACCATCTCATCCTTTGTCGTCCCCTTCTCATCTTGCCGTCACACTTTCCTAACATCAAGGTCTTTTCCAAGTAGTCTTCTCTTTTTATGAGATGGCCAAAGTACTGGAGCCTCAACTTCAGGATCTGTCCTTCCAGTGAGCACTCAGGTTTGACCAATTTGGATCAGGGCTTCTACTTTTTTCAAGCTGGAATGATTCAAAAGGATATTTCCCCCCTGTGAGCAGTTGTTTCATCCTGCAAAATGATGGGGAGGGTGTCTGTGGGTGGTAATGTGCTGACATAGGCAGTTGGGGCATAATATTGAGGGCCTGCAGGAATACCTGTCCCTGAGATCTGTCCACTGGGTGTCCCAGAATCTTTTTAATAATTGAGTTTAGCACTGAGTCATTGCATTGATAGAATAGTTTAGTCCTGGATCACTTTGGCACAGAAAAAAAAATCAACTCATAGTTTATCCTCTCAAAAGGGACCCTTCGACTTTCTAAAAGTTAAATAGCCATGCTTTCTCCAGTGCAGAAAGGAAAGATCAACCAGCACGCAAAAAAAATCAACTCATAGTTTATCCTCTCGACAGGGACCCTTCGACTTTCTAGAAGTTGAATAGCTATGCTTTCTCCAGTGCAGAAAGGAAAGACCAACCAGCAGACACACACACACACAAAACAAAGTGATGCTTTGGCAAACCATCTCCCCCTTGAATTTCTGCCTCATGAGAGAGAACCATATGCACACACACAAAAGCAATACCAGCACTCATCCCTCTCCAAAGCCTCTCTCCCAAGACACTTTTTTACAGCTTCTCCAAGGCAGGCTTTTTCTTACAGCTTATTGAACTATCAAGTCAGCAAGACAAGATGAAGAAATAGTCACTGAAAACAGAAAGCCTTCTTAAAGCAGTTCCTTTGAACTGTGCCACTTACAGGTGCTCCAAATGGAACAGCAGTTAGGATTTTTCCCCCTCCTCTGTCTCTGTGGCCACTTATATTGAAGAGAACTGAATGCCCCCAGGGCAATTTCACAGCAAAAGAATGTGAGTTAATTTGCATTTCCCTGTGTAGTCACACCCTAAAACAGTGCCTGCCCCTGGGAATAAAGACCTAGTAGTTAGAAATGTTGCTCTTTAATTAAACTCTAAATCACTTTCTCTAAGGGTGACTACCTTGACAAATGATCCAGGAATTGCTCCAGACGTGGAACAGTCAGATTCACATTACTGTACTTTCCATTCAGTATACTGCACACAAGTCAATATGCTATTTTCCTCTGTCATCAGGGTTTCCATGTTTTTGACTAGGCATACATTCACATTGCTTCAGATAATGTGATTGCTTCAGCTGATACAGCAAGCATCTACCATCGCCAACTATTGAACAAGGAGCAATTCCTCTTGTTCTGTCCTTATTCAGTATTTATGAAATGAAGAAATAAGCATAACCTGAAATGGCAATTCTTATCCTTAGCAGTGAACATGGGTCAAAACAGATCCTTGGACCAGATTCCATGGAATACCTATCTTGCACAACCATGTTTTACTGCACATCTGAAATGTTTACTGTTTATTCATCTTTTTCTCTTTTGGAGGGGTGTTGGTTTCTCCAATCCATAGCACAAATAGTTGCACTAATACCAATTAAAACTTTGGCAATCTGCTGCATACTCTCATTTGTGTGTTTTTTTCCCTAGTAAAAGTGCAAATTTTTAAACACTTATAAACATATCAGTGCAATTTATGACTCTCTGAATTTATGACTCTTTAAATAAAGAGGATTCCCATTAGAGCAATCCTCTTTATTTAAAGAGCATAGGTCTCCTTATTCCTCTTTAAGACTTTATTATGTGCATTATAGAACTTATTTTATTGTTGTTGTTATGTGCCATCAATCAGAACTGACTTGTAGCAACTCTAATATGGCTTTCAAGGTAACTGAGATATTTAAGGATTTGTTTTACCAGTTCCACACCTCCAGTGAGCTTACATAGCTGAGTTGGGATTCAAACCCATGTCTTGTGAGTCCTAGTCTGTCACTCTGTCCACTATACCAACAATGCCATCTTCACAGGCAAAAATAACATGAATAAAGTAAATATTTCCAAAGGTTTGCAAGAGCTGAGGCAGGGATCTATAAAGGAGGACGGTGTCTTGAATAAATCAATAGAAGCATGTCCCCCTTTTGCTCTTCTGACTTGTTCAGTCAACTTGTCCATTAGATCAGTACTCCACCGTTTAAAAAAACCCTGCATCAATGTAATTTGTCTATCCATTTTCCAATTAGCAGCTAATGATGCTGACAGACAGATGTTATCAGATTTTTATTGTATAAGGTGGATTTAGTTCCCAGAAATAGTTCGAGTAAACCAAGTTCAACCAATTGATGCTTTATTTCTTTAATTTCTTTATAATTTATTTAAATGCAACCCACCAAAACTGATGGACAAGGTCATGACGTGTGAAGGTCTGACCCTGCCCAATTATAATTTGGCGAACATTCGGCCAAGTTTGGCAGCATTCCACATTTATTAAATTCATGCCTGTTGATTTAAGATTTTCTGGCCTGAAAGCCCTTCCTCTGATTCTAGATATGTTTGTAAGCAATTCTTGCATATTTGGGTGTAAAGAACATGCACTCTGCACATGCTCAAGGCCCCTTTAATATTTAACTGTGAAAGACTGAGCATGGGTTATTGAAAACAGATCCTAGGGTCACACCCTCCAGTGAAGTCCATTGTGTCTCAGAACAGGGAATAAAATAAGTAAAACGCAGCTCAAGCATCTGCAGAGCTACAGCCCACATCATTTAGTCTCCACATCTGTTTTCATCATCATCATCATCATGGAACTGCAGAGCTGAAAGGGACCCTGTGGATCATCAAGTCCAACCCCTGTCAAGGAGGCACAGGGAGGAACCGAACTCCTAATCAACTGCTTTAAAATACATTCTTAACGGAGATGAAAGAAGCATGTTGATCTAAAAGCTGAACTCCATGCATTTGCATAAACTTTAGTAGCTTCTGAAAAATCAGTTATATAATTTGTTTTCCTCTTTAATTACACATAGCATTGTTTCCAATACCAAATGCAGCATTAAAGCATAGCATTTCTTGTTCAGCATTGAGTCCAGGATATATATATATTTTAAAAATCTTACCGTCACTATACAGCCTTTTTTCTTGTGTCCAAAATCAACAGTCTCTTGGGTTTACCCAGCTGAGTGGAAATCAGGTTTCTAGGAGGTAGGTGGGAGCAGAGCAGAGGAGAAAGAAATCCGAGGAGGCAGAAAAGAGAACTACTACAAGTGGCATTGGCCGTTAAAAATAAAATGTGAGCTCAGCAACATGGTTCAATTTATAGAACACTGTCCTTTCATGATATTTATTTAAACTGCTATTGCCGGTATGATATTTAACAGGGTAGAGCAGCCAACAGCTGATTCATGTCTCAGGAAAGAACAATAACATTATCTGGATTGAGTTTGTAATGGGGTTATTCTTCTTGCTGTCTGGGTGGAAATTTCGTAGCCTTTCAGCATCTTCTTCCTTATATTACCCACACAAAATTATGCTTTTCTGCTCCTTTCCCCATTAATACCTAATGGTATTGAGAACACATTTCTTCAACCACTACAGCATATTATTTTTTTTGCACTTTAAAAGAGCTAATTGCTTCCGTGAATGCCAGTGGAATCAAAAGGAGAGGTAGTAGCTACGCGTGGCAAAATTAAAATAAACATCCAAACCATGGTTTGGAGGGTCCTTGGAAACTAGCTGCTGGTATGAGTGCCCCCTTTTGACCTCCTCCATTTTCATGTCTTGCAAAATGGCAAACTGCGATTTGCATTTGCCCTTCAACCGGAATCAGAAACGGCTGATCATGTAGATTTCTGAATATAGTTTGGAGCGCAAGTACTCACCACAGTTTGCCAGTTCAAATGTTATGCAAGTGGTGGTGTCATGGAAGCCTTAGAGGACACTCAGAAGCTAGATAAGAATGTTAGTATCTTTCCAAAAAGAAATAGAGAGCAATAGGAAATTCTTAAGTATAAAAATACCACTGGTCCTGTATCTCCTAGGGCAGTGATGGCAAACCTACAGCACACGTGCTACAGCTGGCACGTGGAGCCCTTTCTGATGGCATGCGAGCCATAGGCCGCCAGATCGCTACTCCCTCCGGCACCCCCCAGCCGATTTTAAACCACCTATCCCTGCTTACTTCCTTGGTTGCTGCACTTGTAAATCAGTTCTTTTACTGATCGGAGATAAGGCCGCTTTATTGTTTACTGCTGTAGAACAGCCCGGGGCAGTCAATCGGGCTTGTGAATTACTACTTCCGCCCGACGTGAACTGGCGGAAGTAGTAATTTTCAACAATTTCAAGCACTTCTCAATGAGGCTCAGGCATAATACTTTATTTATGTACATTAATGTCCAGTGGCTGAGCAGAGGATGAATCCTGGAGAGATTCGTAGCCTGCTTGGATGAAATTAAGATGTTTATGACTGAAAAGGAGCAAGAATATCCACAGCTCATTGATATGGCCTGGCTTACCAACCTCATGTTTTTTACAGATTTTACAGCACACTTCAATGTACTGAACAAAAAACTGCAAGGTTTATGGAAAACAGCAGAAAGGATGTTTTGTGACATCAGAACATTTCAGAGAAAACTGCAGGTTTTTGAGAAAGACCTTGAAAGTGGGCAGCTGAAATATTTTGCATTTGGAAATTCTACAACATTTACCGACAATCCTACAAGCCATCAGGAAATCTGCAAGGAATTTTCTAGCTGGAAAGGAGAATTTTAGGAACAGATTTTAACAGTTCCGTAAGATGGAGACAACTCTGTGTTTTCTTACTTCTCCAGATAAAGCCAAATTTGAAGAACTTGAGCTTTCCTGCTTACAGTGGTTAGCTTTTGGAAATCTGGAAATGGAGCTATTGGAATTTCAAGAAAACTATCTGGAAAAATAAATTCGATGACTGCGTGCAACAGTGGAGAAAATTGAGTGCGAAGGGATGACAAAGAACAGCACAGTTGGTAGTTCTGAAAATGAAATCCTTAAAGTGTGGAATTCTCGGCCAAATAATGTTAAGTCAATGAAAGCACTTGGGATTCCCCTCCTACTTTGTTTGGGTCATTTTATGCTTGTGAGCAGCTGTTTTCAGCTTTGAATTATATCAAATCTGATACCAGAAACAGAATGACAGATGACATGTGCTCCATGTGTTGCTCTCAGACTAACGGCGTATGAGCCAAGGTTTGGCAAGTTATTAGCATGCATACAACATCAAAAATCACATTAGTAGTGCAAAAGTATGCCAGGTACATCAAAAATCACATTAGTAGTGCAAAAGCATGCCAGGTTTGAGTATTCCTTAACAAAAAATACATGCACATAATTATTTTAAAAGTTTGTATAAATTACCTGGCTTCAGGCTATGCGTACGATGTATTACTTTAATATTTTTTTCCATTTACTAGTTAATGGTTATTTTTTCAGTAAAAAAAAAGTGTTTGTATCATTGAAAGCTCTGTTATTAAGTTTTTCTTTGAAAAGTAAAGGTGTTGATTAGTTCAGACAACTGTATGAGTTGTTTTTCTAAACTAAAACCTCAGTATTCAGATTTAATTGCAGTGCTGGCACTTCGAAAGAAATAATTTAGGTTTGTGTTGCCATCTCAGTGCTGGCACTTCGAAAGAAATAATTTAGTTTTGTGTTGCCATTTCGGCGCTCGGGCTCAAAAAGGTTTGCCATCACTGTCCTAGGGACTAACTAAATAATGGCCCTATGTATAGTTCTACCCATCTATATTTCAAGAAGCAGCAATTAAATAAATTAGTAGTACTTCATTCATTCATTCATTCATTCATTCATTCATTCATTCATTCATTCATTCATTCATGTCAGAAGCAAGCCAATGGAGCTTCCAAGTGGAATGATCAGCTGACAGGCTGCTGTCTCTGCCATGGGGACGTCCAAATGCATTCACTGTTCTAACATACTTCAAGGATTCCCATTAGTTGTGCTCAAATGTCTGCTAGTTCAAGTATTTCTCCACCTTGAAATCATGAAGGCTTCTAAAACAACCAGTGAGTGATAATGAAATGCTAGCATTTCCAGCATTCTTACAAGATGGCGTTGGAGGCATCTCAGTAAGTTGTGTGTGTTTTTTAAATTAAACGTTTATTCATTCCAAAGAAATCATACTATAAGGAACAACGAACAATAAACACAAGCAACCATTAGTATAAAGTGCATTTGGATTCCACTTGAGTAAGCTACGTACAGGGCAGAACATGAAAGAGGACTTTTCAACTTTTCCAAAATTTAATATGTGCAGCTGGATGACAATGTGGGAAATACTGCTTATTTGCAAAGAGCAGTATCATGTTTCTGTGAAATGAATTTGTTTTTTCCCTTTTTTTAATGCAGTGAATGGAAACTGTGCACCAGTTTTTCCAGGCAGGCCCATCTGCCACATTCTGTATATCCACTACAAATGGATAGTCCAGCAGCAGTGTCTCGTGTGAGGCAATAGATACCCTGCACTGTGTAGTCAATAGAGTGTTGGACGAGGACTCAGGAGACCCAGGTTTGACTCCCTGCTTGGCCATAGAAACTCATGGGTGATACTGGTGGTCGTTACATGCCATCCAGTCACCTCCGACTTACACAACCCATGAGATCTCCAAAATGTCCAGACCTTGACAGCTTGGCTCATGTCTTGTAGACTCAAAGCTGTGGCTTTCTTTAGGGAGTCAATCCATCTTGTACGTATTTAATAAAAGTAATATTTAATTTATTTAATAATTAATAATGATGTCTTTAAGATACCGTGAAGCCTTTCAGATAGCTCACGCTACTAATTTTTTACAAATGAATAAGGCTCCTGACTGGATGCAAATAGAGGGAGCTGGGAATATCTGTTTTGTTAACTCCCACTTATACATAGCAAAATTGACAAGAAATAGGGTTAAAATGCAAATTTCTTTTAATAATTAATAAATTCATCTATGGCGTAGATATATGAACATCCCTGATCCTCCTGTATCTCCATTGTGCCTTTGTTTGTTTGTTTGGAACATCCTAATTTTAAATTATTATTTTTTTAAAGCATTGCTGAAATATATGATGTTGAACACTCACATTATAGAATCTACCAAATACCTGTTAGGCATCAAGATTAATTGAATGTAGGATGTAATGAAACTCTCAGTTCTCATAACTGGGATAGAAGTTAATATATTCATATCCTGACTAAGAAGTGATATCGGGTGTTGGGATCCCAGAGGGAGGATGTTCTTCCCTGGCTTGAGTACCATTATAAGCCTAGCAAGTCTCTTTGGACCCATCCCTCCAGAGATGTCATCAACGGTCTCATCAGGTGTAGCACCAAGTTATAGCCAATGATTCAGTGAATCCATCAGGACCTGAGGATTTTCTTAGTTTCAGACAATCAACAACTTTTTAAATGTCCTTTTCTATAATTCAAATACTCAGAATACCAGAATGAAGGCCATCTATTGGACTGAGCCCTTATGTGTCAAGGAATAGGTTCAACCTCTCTAGATCAAACCTGGTTTATAAAGCTCCGAAAAGAACTAACAAAATACCTCACTAATTGCTTCTGATTGATATACTATTTCTCCTGAATCTGTCTTTATGACCCAATTGTGACTCCTTTTCTTTCTAACCCAAAATGCCCATGCTGGAAGAATAAAGCCATTATTACCATAACTTGCTCATATATAGAACTATTAGATAACTCAGTGGTTTAGGTATCTAGCCGTGGAGAGTTTGGGAGTTTGATTCCCCCCTGTGACTCCTTGACAAGGGCTGGACTGGGTGATTCATAGGGTCACTTCCAGATTTGCACCAAGGAGTCCTGAAATCTCAGACTCAATCAGGAGGAAGACAGGAAGGAGCCACCTACTACTACCACATCTTCTCTGAGAAGTGGCAGGAACCCATCATTCAGAATCCTCCACAGCCACTTCTGTGCTCTCTGCTGTTTTTCTTCAGCAGCTCAAAATCACTATCCATGAGTAGAATATATAGTCCCCAGCAGTGTTTCAGTTTCTGTGTTGTATTTCTAACTTTATAATGTTTCTAATTTATAATGTTTAGCATATGTTTGTTCTTTTATATCATTTTGATGTGAATTTTAAAAATTTATTATTGTTGATTATTGTTCTTATTTTTTGTTGTAAACTGCCCAGTGTGGCCTTGACGGTCAGATAGGCAGTCGTTTG